AGCCCCCAGCCCCGCCGCCCGCCCTGCAGCCCGCCCGGCCGCCCCTAGGGGGGGGCCGCTCCCCGCCGCAGCCGCCACCGCGCTCTGTCCTCGCTCCGTCCCCGCTCTCGCCCCGCCGTTAGCGGCGGAGCCGCTTTCCCAGCAGATGAACGGCTCTCCCCGCCCCCTCGAAGGGTGCAGACACTTAATTTGGTTACCTTAAAAATAGCGTGTCGATCGCGCAGCCGGGCTCGCCGCTGCAGAGCAGGCTGCAAAGTAACTAAAAATAATCAGGTTAGGAGTTCACGCCTGTCAGTGCCATCCATACCAACGTAACGCGCTACGAGAATACTGATTTTTTTGTGTGTGCAAATTTTACCTGCATAAATGTGCTGTTGATATTAATGCAAATAGTTTGACCCTAGCAATGACAAATCAGGAAGGTAAAGCTAAAGTAAATGGAAGAGGAATAAACACCGCATCATCCAAGAATTGTATGGGTTTGCTTATTGCCTTCATTTTATAAATTAATTTCTATTATACATAAATAAAACCAATTTTCAGGTTTATAAAACCCGAATCACTGGAAGGATTTGCAAATAAAGACGCACTATAGTATCTTCTTTTTCTTATTGTATGCGTGACACGTAAATAAGCAAGCCAATGATTTTTAGTAGCAAAGATTAACAACTATCAAAAATGTTTGGAGATGCAATTCAGATGAGCTATCCAAAATTCAAATTAATACCTGTGTGCTAAATCTATATTACATAAGGTAATTCATACTGGAATTGAATTTATCATTATAGCTTTAGCCCCTCTTTGGTTAGTGAATTGATCCTACTATTTTTTTCAGGTTTGTTTGTTGCTATGAGAGAAAATTGGATGAAGAATCTTCAAATCAGGATTGTTTGTGTGCAGGTCACTGAGCTGCTCGCCCTTCACAGTCCATGGCCCATGATGTGCTCTCAGCCACCTCCATCATCTCTACCTGGATAACAGAAGCCTTCCAAGTAAGAGAACAGAAAGGAAGAGAGAACAATTTATCACTTCTGATAAATTTTCACACTTCTGGTGTGACTCTTTTAAAATTTCTGTATTCCTTTGGCACTATGTACTCAGTGCTTCCTAGAATTTTGAGATCAGCAGCTATTTCTGCGTATAATCACCAGTCTTTAATCAAAGATGGAGCACCCTACATGTTTCTGTGTCTCAGCCCACTCTGTGTAAAATGAAGACAACAATACTCCCCTTCCCAATCTGTCGGTGTGCTCCAGTGACGGGGATTATGGTCTCTCTTGGCGCAGTGTGTTCAGTTTTCTTAGTGTGTACTGGACCCTGTTGCAGTGCTCTGCGTTGCCACCAGTTGCCACCTACTGCAGGGCCAGGGGAGCAGGTGTGCTTGGGGATGTAAAGGAGAGGTTGGAGCAGGGTGTCTTTAGTTTCAGAGGGCTTCTTGCTTCCCAGAGCGCATAGGGTGGATGGGGGATAAGGTCAGACAGAACTGTGCACCGGTATTCTCCTGGTCTCTATCCTGCGGGGCTGTGCCTCGTTGCAAGGATACCTTCAGTTGAAGTATGTGTGAAAAGTCCTCTGTGGGCTTCACCTGTGCACAGCCTGCCCTTCGTCCCATAACAGCTCGGTGTCCACTGCTGAGGGTGGGGTCAACTCCTGATCAAGAGCATCGGTCCCTTGTAAATTGCTAAAAGTGATGTGCCTGGAAGCCAAACAGCACCCTAAGTACTGTGCTGCTAACCCTGTAAAATTCTGCAACCTTCCCAGCAGTTTGTGAGCAAGGGTGTCTTATATTTCTTCCGCCTTCATGGCAAAACATCCATTAATTCGGAAAGGGGGTGCTGTGGCCTTGCAAAAAAGATACTCATCCACAGCTGACAAAAAATAATTCTATCAAGAGCCAGTTTCCCCTGGCCTTTTGTTCTGCTCATACCCAGCTAGTACCAAACAGGATCCTTAAGCGCTAGGTAGTTCAGCAAAATAAACGGGCTATCTGCAAAAACCGTATACGCTGTTTTTTCAATTAGATGAGAAGTGAAAATATGCAAGATAGCAATTTATAACTTCTGGTTACAGCCTCGGAGAATGCAGTCGTAGTCTTTCATAGTCTGTATTCAAGGACATCCTCCTTTTTACTTCTTTTTCTTTCTGTTGTGCGATTATTAGCAACAATGCAAAGCCATATGGTAGTTGCCATGGTGGAGGGGCTGCTCCCATAACCGTCTGAGCAGAGCACATTCTAAACATTACAGTCTGGAGCCCAAAATACCCCCGCAGTAACAGAATCCTTTCTCCAAGTGGTTGCCAGCACTCTCTCCTACTGAAGACCCCTAGGACGCCGTCCTTTTTAGCATACTTCCTTCAAACGCAGCCTCACATCCGTTGTT